GCGGTATTGCCAATATAGTATTATCAAGCACTTGTTTTAAGAGAGGACTATGTAGTATGTGTGTTACATATCAGTCTAGAGCTCTTGGTTTCCCACCGCCTTCACACCTGGCACACGGCGTTATCTGATGTACGTCTGTGTTGCCAAACTTACGTTTTGAGAGCTGCATCATCTGATCCTCTAACTCTTCAAACAGCCCAGGGGGGAATAACGTCCGGYCGCATGGCCCACGGAGAATCTCACCAAAGCAGGTATCTTCCACCGTCCATGGCGCAAGAGACAATACATTATCCATTGTTTGTGTSCCTGCTTCTTGCGAKAGGGTTGTTTTCTTTAGCTTAGCACGACATTTGTAACTATTGGAGGGTCTTCCAGACTTGCCAGAASAACATTTTCCTATAAGCTGCGATTTAATAAATGTAGTCATTACTGCTATTGTACCTAATATGAATAAAACTTGATAAACAAACACTAATTTACTTACTTTGGTAATGGTTTCGTCGGGTTTGGCTGACCTGGATAGGGCTGCCAAACACACACCACAGATACGTGCGTTGTTGCAATTTGGACGCGACGAGAGCGRAATTTTGTCCAAATACGAAGCAGCTGGCCTGCTCCGTTTCATTCGATTAACAGAAATGACTTTTCCGCATATTACACGTTTTATTTTCGTATTTCCACATTCTGAGTAACACCACAAAAGTGTTAGAAAGACAAACGAAACGATAGCGCGATACATGTTCGAATTCGAATTTTGCCGCCACGCTTTCGAGAGAGAGGGCTTTCCCTGAGGCGAGCCAGCAATAATAAATTCACGGTCAGCGTCGACGCGCATGGTCGCGCAGAATACTCCCCTGTTAAGAATAAGATACCAACATCTAACTTGCCGTAGTATTCGCTGCATAGAAAAAGTGCTTAGAATAAGATACCAACATCTAACTTGCCGTAGTATTTGCTGCATAGAAAAAGTGCTTAGAATAAGATACCAACATCTAACTTGCCGTAGTATTTTTTTTACTTGCCGTAGTATTTGCTGCATAGAAAAGTGCTTAGAATAAGATACCAACATCTAACTTGCCGTATTTGCTGCATAGAAAAGTGCTTAAGGTGACTGCCTACTTTTGGAAATTGATTTAARCTTTTTTTAAAACTTCGATTTTCCGAATTGAAATTTAATGCTGATTCCAAATCTGGAAAGAAAAATAGGGTGTCCCGAGCTCGTTTTCAAGATAATCAGCATATAATGGAAGCCTACGCACGGGCTTTTGGAATAAAAATTGAGCCACCGGAAGTGATTAGAAAAAAAATAAGATTAATCAGATAATAGTTATTTGCAGACTATATTATTGCACGAACGAAGGCTAGTCAATCATTCTACACACCCCGTTGGACTGAACGACGCTGAAATATATATGACATGTTGTATCAGAATATTGAATAGTGACATTAAAAATACATTGACTTAAACGCATCGGCTTTCTTCTGGTAATCGGTATTCCTATTCACTATTATTTTTTCACCCAAATAGAAAATGTCATCAATAATTTTTTATAGAACGAGGAAGAAAAAGGTTTCAACAAATAACATTTACTTAACAAGGATAAGAATACCGTTTTAGTCCATTCGTTTGTTCAGGCAAGAAGATATGCTAATCTGAACAAAGCCATAAATATATTTGATTGAAATTTTAGCGCGAAAATTTGTTTTACGACATTCACGGTAAATCCATCTATCTAGAGTATGACCAATCATTAAAAAATGAGACAAAGCGAAGCTAGATTGACAGCCACACTATTGAATATTAATAGAAGTAAAAGAGAGCTAAATTAAAACCTTTGTGGTTTTTTTCTTTTCCTTGATCAAAGTATTTCACCTGCAGTATTCTGAAAAATTGGTTTTAATCAAAAGCAAAATTGCTGTCATTTACAAAATTAATTTTAATGATGCCAATGATGTTTTGTTAAATGAGCAAATTTTTATCGGAAAAAAAATCCGCCCGTAACTCCAAATTTTTATCGGAAAAAAAATCCGCCCGTAACTCCCGTAAAATTTGTTATCGAGAAAAATTGCTTGAAACACCGCACATGTTTAATAACTTTCCAAGCCAAAATATCTTTTAAAATACTTGAAATTAATTTTAGTCAAACCTTGAAAGAAATTCGTCAATAATGCATCATTTGTGAATAAATTCGGTAATCAAGAGCGAGGTTTCGATATGGTACAGCCATGATAAAACTGATAAAACCTTTGTGGATTTTTYCTTTTCCTTCATCAAAGCATTTCACCTGCAGTATTTGGGAAAATTGATTTTAATCAAAGGCAAAATTGCTGTCATTTACGAAAATAATTTTAATGATGCCAATGATGTTTTATCAAATGAGCAAATTTTTATCGTAAAAAAATTTTTTACAAAGAAATTCGTCGATGATGCATTATTTGTAATAAATTCGGTAATAAAGGGCGGGGCTTTGATATGGTACAGCCATAATAAAACATGTTCAGCAGGTTGAAATTAGGCAAGCTGAGTACAAAAACACCGAAAAAATGATGACTGTGTGCGTTGTATCAGAAGCCCAGTTGAAGGAACTCGTTTTTAGCACTGTATAGCCTGATCTTTTTTTCTTTATTATATTTATTTTTGATTGTTCGTTTTTGGTTATTGCCAGCTAGTTTTACTAGATGGGTATAAGACTTATTTTCTCTCGATTTTTTAATCATATCTTTTCCTTTAAATGTTTAATGCAAATATTAAGTTTTGGCAATATATGCGTCGATTAATTTCTATTTATTAGATGCACATCTTCGTCATTATCGTCCTCCTCATCATCATCATTATCTG